GCTCTATTACGAAAAAAAATTTCCTCCGACGACCCCCCTTGAAATTTTGTGAGGTGGTAGGAGAACGCCTTGGGGTGTCACAAAAAACTCGCCATGTCCGGGAAAAATCGGGAAATGGGTCAAAACTGACCAGTCGCATTTCCCTATATAATCTTTGTATTTTATGGGAAAAACAGAGGGTCATTTCAACGCAGGCTTTAGGGTACTTAAACTCAGTATATCTGGCTAAATTTTTGCATACTCTTAGGTCAATGGCTTAACCTTTAGGGAAAACTGTCGGTTTCACTCAAAGCCCTCGACGAGGGCTAAAAAGTGACCGCGAGTGAAATTCTCTTTATATGAGCTCTATTACGAAAAAAAATTTTCTCCGACGACCCCCCTTGAAATTTTGTGAGGTGGTAGGAGAACGCCTTGGGGTGTCACAAAAAACTCGCCATGTCCGGGAAAAATCGGGAAATGGGTCAAAACTGACCAGTCGCATTTCCCTATATAATCTTTGTATTTTATGGGAAAAACAGAGGGTCATTTCAACGCAGGCTTTAGGGTACTTAAACTCAGTATATCTGGCTAAATTTTTGCATACTCTTAGGTCAATGGCTTGACCTTTAGGGAAAACTGTCGGTTTCACTCAAAGCCCTCGACGAGGGCTAAAAAGTGACCGCGAGTGAAATTCTCTTTATATGAGCTCTATTACGAAAAAAAATTTCCTCCGACGACCCCCCTTGATATTTTGTGAGGTGGTAGGAGAACGCCTTGGGGTGTCACAAAAAACTCGGCATATCTGGGAAAACTTCGTAAAGCGGTCAAAACTGACCAGTTGTATTTCCCTATATAATCTTTGTATTTTATTGGAAAAATAGAGGGTCATTTCAACGCAGGCTTTAGGGTACTTAAACTCAGTATATCTGGCTAAATTTTTGCATACTCTTAGGTCAATGGCTTGACCTTTAGGGAAAACTGTCGGTTTCACTCAAAGCCCTCGACGAGGGCTAAAATGTGACTGCGAGTGAAATTCTCTTTATATGAGCTCTATTACGAAAAAAAATTTCCTCCGACGACCCCCCTTGATATTTTGTGAGGTGGTAGGAGAACGCCTTGGGGTGTCACAAAAAACTCGGCATATCTGGGAAAACTTCGTAAAGGGGTCAAAACTGACCAGTCGTATTTCCCTATATAATCTTTGTATTTTATGGAAAAAACAGGGTAATTTCAACACAATTTTTACGCTCCTTAACCTCTGTACATCATGCTAATGTTTTGCATACACTTCTATAGATGACTAGGCCGTATGGAAAAACTGTTGGTCAGACTCAAAGCCCTCGACCAGTGCTAAAAGATGACCGCGAGTGAAATTCTTCTTATATGAGATATATATAAATAATTTGACGATCGATCCCGTTAATATTATTTGAGGTCGTAGACCGACCCTGGAGGGTAACAAAAAAACTTTAATCCCGTCGGAAAAAGCTATTGTAGTCGTTAAATATGTTTATATATCGTATTTTCTTATATAAGCATAGTAACTGTTTGTTTAAAAAAAAAGTAAACACAGAGATACGTCATTCGGTTAATTTCCAAGGGAGGTAACCTTTTTAAATAATTATTTTTCAAATAATTGTATACTATTTTAAACAGAAACAGAAAACGACAAAGTATAGCATTTGTGTTAGATAAAAATAAGTTATTAATTAAGCTACGTATCATAATTAAATAAAAAATTAATTTTAAAAGTCAATGTAATATAAATTATGAGATATACTGTTCATGGAACCTCTGTAGTTCTATTTCCATCTTAGTTATAAATTGCGTACTTTCGAACATTTTCTCTAAAAGCTGATGTTAAAGAGCATAGGCATACAACATCTTCTCTAAAATTAGCATTACTGTTTACATTTAAGCACTCCACGCCTCATCCATCACCTAATAATTACTATTCAAATTATCAAATAATTTTGAAAACCTAAGCGAAGCTAGGCAGTATGCCTAGTATATATATATATATATATATATATATATATATATATATATATATATATATATATATATATATATATATATATATATATATATAATAATTACACGAACACAAAAACTAAACACTGTAAAAACAAAAAAAAATTGGACAAATATTGTATGATTGTTTTAAAAGCTATCTTAACTCTCAGGCACACAATCCGACAACCCGCCATTTTTCTTGCTGGCGTCTCGGGGCTCCCCATCTTGTGAAATACGTCACGACTATCGGGGTTCCGGTCATGTGAGCTGAGCATGACACGTCAACAAATTAGATTTGTTTCCGAGTCATTTGACACCAGGTCTTTCTCTCGACTAGGGTAAATACTGGGGGGATGTAGCTTGCTATTGTGTCTAATTAGCGTCGTCCAGATTTTGGTTAATTACCGTCTAGGCAACGTGTTTGTAGTTGTCGTATATCAAAGTTATATTTTGAGAATCCTTGTTGTACTCTTCGTCGCATCATTCGTATATCATTGTTGCATCTTTGTTGAATCTGTGTTACATAATTGTTGCATCTTTGTTGAATCTTTGTTAAAACAATGTCAAGGTGCTATATTAACAAATTGCACTTGATTTTATTAGAAGACAATACATTTAATAGTGGGCCTATACTGTTACTACCTATAGTGACGTAATGAAAATAGACTATTGCAATCAGCGTCGTGAGTCATCTAATAGAGTTTGATAGACCTTAACTGACTTACAGCAGTTAAAGAATCCCGATGGGGCCCTAAGTAAATAATATCAGTGGGCCCCCAGTGGTAAAGAATCCTGGTGGGCCCCAAGTAAATAAGCCCGGTGGGCCCCTAAGTAAATAATCCAAGTGGGCCCTCAAGTTAACAATCCCAGTGGGCCCCAAGTTAACAATCCCAGTGGGCTCCCAAGTTAACAATCCCAGTGGGCCCCCAAGTTAACAATCCCAGTGGGCCCCCAAGTTAACAATCCCAGTGGGCCCCCAAGTTAACAATCACAGTGGGCCCCCAGGAAAAAATAAGTTCAATTTTCACTCAGGAACGGAGCTATAGAAAGCCTATTAGTGCACTGACTTTTAAAACTAACTTGTCGCGTGAAGCTCCACCAACCTTGTTATGATTATGAGGCTTGAATGGGGAAAATACACTTTGAGTATTCAAATCTTGGAATGGGGGCTCTTTTAAAATTTCCCGAGCCCCTTGGAAACACCCAGTCCATACAAAAAACTGGCTTGTACAACGCCCCTGATTGCAAACAGCGTTAACTCAACTAGATGTAGGACACGTTTAAAAACCTATTTCAAACAGCGTTAACTCAACTAGATGTAGGACACGTTTAAAAACCTATTTCAAACAGCGTTAACTCAACTAGATGTAGGACACGTTTAAAAACCTATTTATAACAACGCTACTCAATCCTCTTAATCTGTGTCGATTTGCTGCTCTAAACACACGAGTAAGACGCCGCATCCGATTGGTGCTCGCCATCACGTGATGCTGGGGACAACCCATTTACCGCACGTGACGTAGACGACACACGAGCCAGCTTACCGTCGACGTACGCTCGCATGGCGTCGCTTCGTTCAACGTTCTTCTCGTGACCTAAAAGTATCCTGAAGTTTTACTGGGATAAGTTTTTTATCCCAAGGGTAAGTCTATATCGGGGGAATAAATCCGTGAGATCTATAACGTGATTGGGGCGTGATCGATCGGTTGAATGAGTCTTTGGTACAACTAGTTGTTGGTGTTTATTTCTGTCATACATCGTTCCACCCTTTGTTACAGAAGCTAACCTTTAAACTTTGAATGTGTGTCCATTGATGCGTGAGTGGCCCATTCACAGCTGAGTGAATCCGTGCGATCAAGACCATCATTTGTTTATTTGAGCTAAGTAAACAAACGATAACCACAAAAATAGCCTTAACGAATTCTAAACGTGTTATTTCTCTTTTATTTGAGAAATTATTTTTAACTTGAAAACGAAAATAAGAACAACGATGTCCATTGGCGTACCTTGTATGTGACCAAGTGATAAACTATGTGATTATTAATCTAAATGGTATGACGGTTGGATTTATTTCTTATAAGGTACATTCCTAGAGCCAGAAAGACTTCGAGACTGACCACGCAATTCTTTCTCTTTCTGAGCTAAATAGAAACCTATTAGAGGAATTCCAACTACGACCGCCAAATAATAAATTATTATCTAGAAATTTTATTTTTTTCGAACAAACAACCTGTTTTAACATTAACTGTACGCAACACTAACATATACCACAAGACAAAATTTAAAACAAAACTGCAATACAGTGTTTATTATACACAACAGTGCCTTATGGAGGCAAAAAACCACACCAATAGGGAAACTGACGATTTATGCTTTCATATAATGTCTATAAAATAGCAAACATAAAATTCGATGCGGAAAAAAAAGTTTAAGCACATAAAAATAAATATAACATAAATACAAAAAAATGTGCATGAATTAAAAAAAATGACTAAAATTAGTAGATCTATCCCTCTAAAATTGAATAAAATAGTTTCCTTTAAGTCCGCTTTATGTCTGATTTTCGTTTTACCAAAATTTAATCATTTCCTGATATCATTAAACTGGACAACACAACCCACCGTCTTCATTAGGTCTATTGTGATCGTTATCCGTTTGTTTACATTAGCCTAGGTAAACACAAGTGGACTCGGCGGCGTGTTCACCCACCCGTGACGAGGATACACAAACAATCATTTACACCTATTCAAGGGACGCAACTTTGTCTCACCTGTCCCACCTGACGTGACACCTGTAGCCCGCCCATCATTGAAAAGTTATGTAAACACAAGGAGGAGATAACGAGGGTATTGTCCGAAAGTATGAGATGGAGGGGGCGGGGGAGGGGGAGGGGAGGGAGGTTGCAACACTTGCTATATAAACTACACTGGACAGAGTCCGGTCATTTCATTTTCGAGATATTCGTTGATGAGATTGCCCGGTTTATTCCAAAACTACACGTCAAAATGTCTGCTACCTTCGATTTGTACCACGGTTTCGGTCTGATCAAGATCAAAACCCTGAAACACACCAGAAGCCAAGTCTACCTGGCCTGTCACGAAAGCAACCACTTTGTCAAGAAGGTGCTGAAGGTCTACGAGAACGACCCGGAGTCTTTGGAGATCTTCAAGACGGAGCTCTCCCTACTACAGAGGCTCCAGCATCCCAACATCATCCCCATCGAGTGCGCCATGAAACTTCCCGCCCACAGCGTCATCGTCTTGCCGTTCTGCGAGTGGGGCGCCCTGACCAACGTGGTGGGCAGGATCGACCTCAGCCACTTCGACCACTACTTCCTGCAGCTGTGCAGCGCCATCAAGTACCTGCACGGCCAGGGCATCGCCCACAGGGACATCAAGCTGGACAACATCCTGCTGGACGCCTACCAGCGCGTCTACATCACGGACTTTGATCTGTCCTGCGCTGTCGAGCCTGACAACCCCATAGTCCACAAAAAGAAGGGGACCTATCCATACATGGCGCCTGAAATGTTGGCTAAACCTAAGGGATCTTATGATGGATTTAAGGTACGACTTTTTATATTCTTTTAAGCATTCTATATCGAATTACTTTAATTTCTATTTATATAAATAATTATTTTCTCTAACGTAGAAAACAAGTAAGAGCGTGTACACATAGGGCATTATATCAGTTCCTAACGTAGCTATAGTAGGCGTTAAGTATTAAGGTAACACACACAACATTAAGCCCTAAACAAGCTCCTAACGTAGCTATAGCAGGCATTACACACAACACTAAGTCCTACACTAACTCCCAACTTCACTATCGTAAACAACACGTTAAACTTAGGATACTTGTATATAGTCCGTAAACCATCTCACAACTTTGCTATTGTAGAAACAAATTGTTAACAATAGCTTATATAACATTTGAATTTATCTTTTAAACCATCTGTCGTCTCTCTCTCCTCCAGATCGACATGTTCGCCTTTGGTGTCGTCAACTACGCCATCTTGTTTCAACAAGTCATCACCGAGCCCGAGGACTACCTAGAGGTCACCCGGACCTTCCCCTGGCCCGACCCCATGCTGGCACACAAGGGGATCCTGGAGAAATTGCTGCAGCCCGACCCTGAAGCCAGGTGGGGCATTCTGGCATTGATAGAAAGTCTGAGTGCTGCCCCTTCAATGGCTGAAAGGGCCAAGTTTCTGTAACTGTTTTTGTTTCTAGAAATCTCTGTTTTTCTTACGCATGCTGTCTTTATTTTATAACAATTTTTTTTTTTGTGTTAAATTACTAAATTACTAACGCAAATTTAATGTATTTTAACTCGTTAAAAATAACAAAATACTAATTTTGGCACCTAATCTCTTACTTTATAATTACAGATTCCACCGTCTTTAGGACAGACATTTCACCATACATTTCTCTTGTCTTAGCACTAAATCTGTTTTAGACAGTTTAATTATTAACTGCTTTGTGAACACTTTCTTGTTACTACTCTTCTTTCTTTTGCAAAGCTCTTGTCTAAATTATTAACCAGCGTAAAAAAAGTTACACCGGCTCGCTGCTACACTATCATTTTTTTTTTCTTAATTAACTAATTTTCTCCAATCTTTCTATACTTTATTTACTACTTTTAAATTATCTAATTTATCCTTCGCTTAATATTAAGAGAAAAATAAATTCTTTAAATTTTATTTTAGGTCAATTGGCTACGATCTTTCATTAATTTTTAAAGGTTTACAGTCAGAGCTGTATTGTCTACAGTATTCTTTAGTTGCCGTCTATGTAGAGTTTCTGCTCAAAACATCGATGCTCACATAATGTGTCTGTAATATTTCTTCGTTGTTTACTTCTATATTGTACGCATCTTTTCTTCTGACCATGTCAGTTACTGCTGTTTGTTTTTCGAGTACCTGGGACACAACTTTTACAAAACAACAACTTGCTTTTTAACAATGTACTTTTTTTTTTTAAATGTAAGTTTACTTGCAACATGTTCATTCTCGGTCAACATTTAATAAACGTTAGCACTTAACTTACGAACACCCAGTAAACTAACACTCTAACTCACCAACACAGTAATTCATTAGCACACTTTTGGACACACTTACTTACACACTTACCAACATAGCAACACACAACACCAGCTAACACATTTAACTAACTCACTAACACTCTGAGCAACAAACTCACTAACAAACTAACCAACACACTAACCCACTAACACATTAACACACTACTAACCAACCCACTACCCAATGGCCTTGGTCCCGGTTGACCAACCATCTTTAATCAGGCCACATGGTTGCCTACCATGTGACGGTCCCAAGCCCGTGTAAACTGAGAGGGGAGAGGGTTCGAATCTCATCTGGCCAACCATCTTTAATCAGGCCACATGGCTCGCACCTATGTGACGGTCCCAAGCCCGTGTAAACTGAGAGAGGAGAGGGTTCGAATCCACGTGAAGACAGTAGTTTGTATTCAATTTTACGTAAAACTAGGAGATGTGCTGTAATACCAAATTAGATTCTAATGTATGTGGCTGTTGAAGATTGCACGTGATGTCACATTTGACTGGATGTGTGTTAAGAAGGTTTCGTACTTGTTCACCTTAGCTAAAAGCTAAAGATATGTGGGGTTACTGCCATATGCATAGATACATGTCGAATGTAGAATATTTTAAGGGGTAACTAATAACATTAATATAAAATTATACTAAAATGTAAGTAATCACATAAGAAATAAATGAATCGTTGAAGTTTGAAAAAAAATTGCTACAAAAGAACTTAACATAATTTGACCATAAAACCAATTACAGACTGATTGTATTATGAAAATACATTGTATTTACAAAGCATTGTTTTGTATGCGTTTGTTTAACACATACAAATCGTCATTTCATGAAGTATTTCTAGTCGAGTTGTGTTACGTGCTCTAGAAAATAACTGTGATAGTGATATGATAGTGATATCCCCTTGATGACAATAGTAAAAGTTGTGTGCTATTGATGCCAATGTATACAGGCATGTGCCCATGACATATAGGTTTTAGATTGATGTCCGTCCATTTGACGCCAGTGATGCACCTTTAACGGCATTGATAAAAGAGATGTCATTTTGACGCCATTTATAGAAGTGATGTCCCTTTTGACGCGATTTGTAGAAGTGATGTCCCTTTGACGCCATTGATAAAAGTGATATTCATGTGATGCCATTGTTAAGATTGATGTCCCTTTGACGCCATTGATAAAAGTGATATTCATGTGACGCCATTGTTAAGATTTATGTCCCTTTGACGCCATTGATAAAAGTGATATTCATTTGACGCCATTGTTAAGATTTATGTCCCTTTAAAGCCATTGATAAAAGTGATATTCATGTGACGCCATTGTTAAGATTTATGTCCCTTTAAAGCCATTGATAAAAGTGATATTCATGTGACGCATTGTTAAGATTGATGTCCCTTTAAGCCATTGATAAAAGTGATGTTCCTTTGACGTCTTTGTTGAGTATCGTTTCATTGACGCAATGTTTAGAGTAATGTGCTCTAATGGTAAGAATGATGTGCCCTTGACGTCAATGTAAAGAGTGCATTGTGCATGTATACCCCTAAACCATAATCTGAGTTGACTAGAAAACAAGTTGACGTTTTCCAGACTTTCTTCTCTGGTGTATGAGCCAATACATGACGTCATATGTTGGCTGTGGTGAAAAATAAATAGTGTAAAGCTACACCTTCGTTACACCATGGTTACACCATGGCTAGACAATGGCTAGAAACTCGCTACATAGTAGCTAGACCATGGCTAGACAATCGCTACACAGTAGCTAGACCATGGCTAGAAACTCGCTGCACAGTGGCTAGACAATGGCTACACCCAGCGAAGCACTGAAGGTCTTCTACCAACGTCTTCTATGTGGTGACTAGAGAAACGACCACAGTCAGGTATAATAAGAAGACAGTTGGTGTAATATCCTCAGCAGACGATACCCGGCAATTCAACAAGTCAAACCTGAAATGTTGAGATGTGCTTGTATGATCATACAAAAATTATAAGGAGAGTTAAAACAAACTAGACATATACATAGACATATACATAAGTTTAGGCTATGTAAATTCACCAGTTAAATATTGTATACTGATGGTTGGTTAATAATATCTGACTCACTGGCTAAGTATTGGACCTACCGGTTAATGCTTTGGCTAACTAGATAGTTAACTTAATGTTTAAATATTTGACATACTAGCTAACTAAATGCCTTTGACTAAATGTCAGACTTAATGACAAAATATCTGACACATTAGCAAAAAAATTAACTTACCGGCATAAGAATTAATTACTGGCTAAAAATTGATTTACCTGTTAAAAATAAACCGGGAGTGATCTCCCCTAAACTTTCTCGCATATTCTTATATAACTTGGAATATAGACATGATTTTTAATTACTTAAATTTTAAAAAATAGAATAGAATCTCATAGAAAAAGATTTGCGCACCAATCGATCGTCAAAACAAAATGTGCATCATAGTGCGCAATATTATTAGTACTTTATAAATTTACATTAGTTTTTTTAAGAAATCGGAAATAGCGTAAATTAGTACTTCCGGTCAACGGAAATTACTCCTAATTTGATAAAAGGTAGAGAATTAGATCTTTTACTTACATGTGAAATTTCATTTATCTATCTGAAATAGTACTCAAGTTATAGGCTTTATAAAAATTCAAAGTAGATAAGTACCCATTGCGGTTATCGGAAATCGCTCAAAAGTTGATACGGATCTACGATTTTGATAAAATACTTAGACATGAAATTTCATTAACCTAGCTGTAACGGTACTCAAGTTATCGTGTTTACACACAGACAGGTAAACAGACACACAGACAGACAGACACACAGACATACGGACAAGATTGCAAAATTATGTTTTTCCGTATCAGTGAGGTGTAAAACGTCGAGATTTGTAAAAATCTCGATTTTTTTTTTTGCACGATTGCAAGACTTTCTCTATACTTCGTATATACGAGAAAGTAATAACTTACCGGCTAAATATTCCGGCCTTTTTCTTCTCGTATTCCAGCTCCAGCAGAGCGCCTTCTATCCAGAACTTTCCATCCAGGTGCCAGTAATCAAAGCCCAGCCGACAGTTGCACCTGTAGGAGCCGCGCTGGAAGGGAAACCCGGCCAGGGGGGCGCACTGGAGAGGTGGATAACATTTAGAGTATCTTTACATCATTTTAACATTTAGAGTATCCCTACAAATTTAGAGTATCCTACAAACTTAGAGTATCCTACAACATTTAGAGTATCTCTATAAAATTTAGAATATCAATATAAAATTTCGAGTATTCCTACAAAATTTAGAGTATCCTTACAAAATTTCAAGTATCCTACAAAATTTAGTATCCTTACAAAACTTAGAGTATCCCTACAAAATTTAGAGTATCCTAAAAAAATTAGAGTATCCTACAAAATTTAGATAATCCTACACAATTTAGAGTATCCCTACAACATTTAGATTATCCCTACAACATTTAGAGTATCCCTACAACATTTAGAGTATCCCTACAACATTTAGAGTATCCCTACAACATTTAGAGTATCCCTACAACATTTAGAGTATCCCTACAACATTTGGAATATCCCTAGAAAATTTAGAGTATCCCTACAACATTTAGAGTATCCCTACAACATTTGGAATATCCCTACAATATTTAGAGTATCCCTAGAAAATTTAGAGTATCCCTACAACATTTAGAGTATCCCTACAATATTTAGAGTATCCCTACTACATTTAGAGTATCCCTACAACATTTAGAGTATCCCTACAACATTTAGAGTATCCCTACAACATTTAGAGTATCCCTACAACATTTAGAGTATCCCTACAACATTTAGAGTCTCTGCACAATTTAGATTAACCTTCCAAATTATTCAGTCAGGTAATGGACTATTCAATAAACAAGTGTGTTGATTTGTATGTAATAACGTAATATCAGTTTTCCGACCAGACATTAGGAGTTTGGACAATAATACCACATGGGCTAAGATTTAGAGAGGGATAACGTTGGCATTAGCAAGACATAGAAAGCATATCCATATTTTACGAACATTCCACTGTTGTGGCATAATCAGGCACTTGTATGTCGAATACACCCAAATTCATTAGTAACTTGACTTAACTAAATCCTTACTTTAACACCGTAGTATATTGCTTTAACGCAAACTTTAGCTTTGTGGTAGAGGCGCTATCCCCTCTTCAGCTTTCATTTTAAATATATTTGAAATACTTTACGATAAAGATAGTTAAATAATGAAAGAGATCAAACCAGGAAACCTTACATTGGTAGAAAAGTAGTCACACCGGGCCGTGTTTTTAAAGGCGTTGGGGACAGAATACGGCATGGGGCACTGGTTGATTTCTAGAAGATTCAGGGGAACCTCCACCGTCGCCACACCTCTGGAATAGAATTGCAAGCATAATCTCGTGTGTTCATTTTATCCCTGTCTCCCTCCCCCACAGCACTACCAGATCTAGAACTCAATACAATGTTCGGCCCCACCCCCTCTTTTCTCCCTGCGTCCTATTTAGCTACCCAATGCGTAGAGCTGATCTAAGCACCATTTAACCAAAAGGGGCCCATATTTTCACCTGCCTCCCCTCCTCTACCCCCAACCTCACCCTCACCCTTAGTTCCCCAATACCTAGAACTCCAGCCAGCTAACAAGCCCCCCCCCCCCCTCCCACACACACACCCCACAGTTCCGTATACCTAGAGCTGACCTAAACTCCAGCCAGCTAACAAAGCCCAATCACCTCCCCCCCCCTCAGTTCCCTAATATCTAGAACTACCTAAACCAGTCAGCTAACAAGATCCCATCACCCCCCCCCCCTCCCACACACACCCCACAGATCCCCAATACCTAGAACTGACCTAAACTCCAGCCTAGTCCTCAGCGAGTCGAGCCCAAAGAATGGGCTGACATACTTGATGAGCCACGAGTCGATATTCCCATCACACCGGAAGTACGGTCTGGTCCAGAAGCCGGCCTCATAGGGTGCGGCTCTGTAGGTCAGGGGGAAGTACTCATGGCGGACAGAACTGGTGCCGTTTGGGTCGGATCTAAACACGTGCGTACAAAAATTAACACGGACCTAAAGACGTGCGTACACAAATTAACAGGACCTAAAGACGTGCGTACACAAATTAACACGGACCTAAAGACGTGCGTACACAAATTAACACGGACCTAAAGACGTGCGTACACAAATTAACACGGACCTAAACACGTTCGTCCAAAAATTAACACCGACCTAAACACATTCGTACAAAAAGTAACGTTTTTAAACCATTAGCCTACTAAAAAATAAGGCCGATTCTAGTCGGAATAAGATACGCATGCGATACGCATGCGCAATGGACTACGACTTAGCGGCGATGTTTTCGATGGTACTGCGCATGCGTGTGTTTACAACCGCAGAACCCTAATACCAACCCTAATCCTAACCCTAACCCTAGCCCTAATCCTATCCCTAACCCTAATCCTAGCCCTAATCCTATCCCTAACCCTATCCCTAATCCTACCCCTAACCCTCATTCTAGCCCTAACCCTAGCCATAGGTCACTGCGCATGCGCAGAACTATCTTTTGCCGAAAAATCTTATTCCGAGTAGACACTTCGAAAAAATAAACAAACACTGGTTGTATGTTTTAAAGTGTGTTACTTCTTTTTTAAGAACTAAACTGAAAAAAAAGAAAGATACTTTTGACAATGGATTATTTTTTAGTGTGATTGGTCTACCATCCATTTTAGCCCCTAACTTAACTCTTACGGAATTTGTTACATAGCCACACATAATAGATTATAATAATCATTTCTGAAATTCCTATATTTAAACTACTTAACTATGTTTTCATATCAGGTTAAAAATAAACAAAGAAAGGTTTACTTTACAATATTATGAAGCACACAAGGTACTGATTTTTTTAATCAGATAGTTAACGTACTATGAATCATAAAACGATAAAGTATAATTTTTTTTTTTCAATTTGGTGCTTAATATCTAAACTGGAAGAACCATACAGCCTTGACTTGTAGAAAAACTTGCAGAGGTGAATGCTAGAATAGATTTTGTAATTATATCCTATGTGTGTAGTATGACACGTGAGCTCTAAGCTTAAAAAGCTTACGATCGCCCAAGCTTGTAGCGTACTGATCATCTCATCTGAGCTAAACTGAGTTTAAAGAGCTTAAGGTCACCCAAGTTTGTATCATACTGAGTATATCTCACCTGACGTAAGCTCTGAGCTTGTAGAGCTTAAGCCCACTCAGATTACTGGCGTACTGAGCTTTAGCCCTAAGGAACCATTCCTCGTCCACGTAGCTCTTGGAGTAGCCGGCCCTGTCCACTGCGAAGTATGAGCCTTGTTTTCTGTAGGCCTCAGGTCCAAACAACTCACGGACGCTACGGTCCTGGTTCTGAAACTTGTACCTACCGGAAGTAGACATGTATCTTAAAACTAGGTCAACGTATATTTTTAGCTACGGGGAAATATTTTATGTGCATTTATAACGTTTAGAAAAACGCGGTATTTCCGATTGTTTTATGGCGTTTACCTTCTTGAAAGGTAAGATCCAAATCGACTTATGATGCCAGATTTATGATTATCAAAAAATCTAAATCTACCATCTAATGCAACAGCGCTGATAAAAGAGTAATTTTGTTTTTGCCGCGCTATTTATTTTAGTTGCATACATGTTATAGTATCAGATATGGCCAACTTCAACTTGTCCTAGATGGCCCTATAATTACCTGTCAAAGAAGAGGCCAGCCGTGTATATCTTAAAGTTGGCCAAGTTTGGCCAACCTTAGCATGGCCCAGATGGCCATAAAATTACCTTTCAAAGAAGAGGCCAGCCGTGTATATCTTAAAGTTGGCCAAGTTTGGCCAACCTTAGCATGGCCCAGATGGCCATAAAATTACCTGTCGAAGAAGAGGCCAGCCGTGTATATCTTAAAGTTGGCCAAGTTTGGCCAACCTTAGCATGGCCCAGATGGCCATAAAATTACCTTTCAAAGAAGAGGCCAGCCGTGTATATCTTAAAGTTGGCCAAGTTTGGCCAACCTTAGCATGGCCCAGATGGCCCTATAATTACCTGTCAAAGAAGAGGCCAGCCGTGTATATCTTAAAGTTGCCCATGACATTGGCCAGGACCTCGCCATACAGTTGGTCGACGTGGAGGATGCCGCCGGCACGAAGGTTGCCGTAGTTTTCATCCGGCATCACGTTCTGTGGGTAAGTAGAGGGTGGTGGTGGAACTGTGTGGGATGTTGTGTGATTCTATTGGAAGCTGGGTTTTTGTGGGATGTTGTGTGATTCTATTGGAAGCTAGAATTAGGTGAAATAGTTTTTGGGGTCTTGTGTAAGGCTATTGAAAGCTAGGGTTTAGGTGGATGTGTTTGGAGTCTTATGTGATTCTATTGGAAGCTAGGGTTTTTGTGGATGTGTATATGTCTTAGGTTTTGGTGTATGTGTGTGGGATCTTATGTGATTATATTGGAAGCTAGGGTTTTGGTGTATGTGTGTGGGGCTTTGTTTGATTCTATTGAAAACGAGGGTTTTGGTGGATGTGTGTGGAGCCTTGTGTAATTCTATTGGAAGCTAGAGTTTTGGTGGATGTGGGTATATGTCTTATGGTCTTCTAAGGAAACTGAGTTTTTGCAGGATTTTTGTTTATGGAGTGTAAGAGTATTCAAGGGAAATGTAAAGTTTTGGAGAATTTGTGCATGGATCATTATGGTTTTTCAGGGTGTCTTTGAGATTTGGTGAAAATGCGTTTGGGATGTGCTACGGCTTGGTCGGATAGAAGAGCGTAAGACAGCTTTCTAGAAAGTATCGAGTTCGAATCCCGAGCTTTGTGTTCGTAGGAAGTCACTGAGCCCACCCAGCTCTGGTGGGTTCCTGACTCATGTTGTGCTGACTTCAATAGCCATTCCCATGCTGAGGTCGATAAAACAGGCGAGCTCTACTTCACCTGCCCCGTTGACCTCGAAGTGCGACAGGGTAACTTTACTTTTCTATAAGTATGGGATGTGGATAGTGTTGGTTTTTTTAGTGTATAGGCTCTAATGGTATTCTATGGAGAAAAAAAATGTAAGTATTGCTACATTCGTATCAACTCAAACGTAAATCTTGTTTTAGGTAAAGAGAATTTAAAACATGTGGTTAATTGTTTTAATGCGGGCTAATGACCTATGTATGGGGTATAGGAAAATTAGATGAATAGTTTTATTAAATGTGGATGGAATATCCGGTCCTTGATGGCTGGTAGTGAGACAATCTGAAACAGGTACCAGCAGAGTTTCTTCCAGTCATCTCTTCGCCCCCCCCCCCCCCCAAAAAAAAAGGAAGTGGAATAATTTATTTAGAAAATGTATACTTTTAACAGTGCCCCCCCCCCCCCCCGCTCACGGACATTTTAGTCCCCCCCCCCCCTCGACTGGAGAAAAAAGTCTGGAAGAAACACTGGGTACCAGTGTATACAACAAAAAAACACAGACACTAATTATTTTTTGACGGCGGCTGTTACGCCAGTGGCCGCCCCTCCCACCTGCAGGTACAGGGATAAATACTGGGTCAGCCGGACAGCTGTTCGACCCTCCGTCTCAAACTGCGTCTTGGCGCCAAAAGTGACGTCTCCGGGCAGCTGGAGCTGGTGATTTGGTAGTCTGTGACAGTTCGATGACGTCACGGACGCTTTTTGGCGAAAGATCCGCATCATTCTGTAACATCGGAAATAAAAGAAAAAAGAACTCATTTACCTAATTAGACCAAAGTAAATCTCTATACAAAGTTACTGTGTTATTGATATTATAATAGTCATTGTAATGATAGTAGTTATCGGATATTGGCAATACGATGTTGATTGAAATGTAGTGATTGCATGCTGTTTGATGCCAAGATGATCCTAGGTGAATTCTGTGAGGCGACTGTTCATGTCTTGTGGTGATATACTACTTAGTATAAGAGTGTGACGTGTATCAGTACTTATGTAACCAGAGCTATCTATAAATAATTCTCTTCATGGAGACCATAGAAAACACCACGCAGCTTAGCCACCACTCTCATCCCCACCTGTCAGGTGAGCTGTGGTTCACCATGAATGTTTACAATCGTTGAGCCGAGTTAGTGACGGCTATTATGGGCAAATAAATTAGTATTAAACGATTTGAAATGAAGGGGAGGTAACAATTTCTGATTGATCTTTTCTTTGTCTGTAAACAACTGCTTTCACTTGGTGGGAGGGGTTAGTGTTGAATTCACAAATTATGAATTGCTGATAAGCAGAAAATAAAACAACTAGATGAGGGCGTATATAACGTCGCGGGTCAGCTCGTTAAATATTATAATCTGAAAACCGCAACAACATTATGACAACACAAATATTTCCTCTGGCAGAGTAACAAATACAAATCTTTACTGAATTTTTCAAATTCCTCTACTATGTTAATAGATCATTTATTCTCATCTTTCGGTATCTTTTTGGGGGTTACTATTAGTTTTATTATTAGGATTAGCGTTATGAATACGATTAGATTGGTACTAAAAATACGAAAAAAAAATACTTCAATACGAAATTCTTAGCAAACGGATAACACAAGAGGCAGCTCTGACTTCACCTGTCAAAAGCCTGGTCATCGAACACTGTCGCTCTCTTCTGACGTCTCACGGACGGTGCCTCCGCCCTGCCGGACTGGAACCGCTTCTGGTGCCGCTCCCGGAGCTCCAGGATGTGTTTCCGGAGGGCCTCAGAAGCCAGCGTGTAGTTTCTGGTCGACCCGTCGTCTACCAGCGACCGCCGGTATCTCCTGTGTTCGGCCACGTCCTTCTGCCAGAGAAAGATACAGGGGTCAGTTGGTTAGCCGTACCACGCTAATTCTGTCCATTTAATTATCAATGTCCATATCATAAATTTTGCTATCGTTTTAAATTAAAGTAAAGGTCAACACGTATGCAAAACCTAATGCTACATGTGTACACACACTCTTAAACATGCATACATACACACACACACACACACACACACATATATATATATATATATATATATATATATATATATATATATATATATATATATATATATATATATATATATATATATAACCTTAACCCTTAACCAAACCCATATCAATTGTTTTGGTACATTAAACGTCCAATTTTCTAATTTGAAAACGCAATTGTACTTATCGTGATTGATTAGACACTTCTTACCTTTAAGTAAAAGCGGGAAGTGTAAACAGTAAGTAACTACAACTTCACTCAAACCTTAGCTTCAAGCATGATCGAACTTAAATTGATTTACTTACCTGATATTCCATTTCGATGTTCACATCGACTTTGTTGTTCATCACATAGTCATCTCTCGGAGGTGAAAGGTCATAGGTTGTTGACAAACCTTTTAGTTTAAAAGTTTTTTCCAGCTCGTTTTTTTCCTGAGGATATTTTAACGACAATTATATATATTAAAAAATGTACATTTTAAAGACCTAGGGCATTTTTTTACTTGTAAAACTAAAGAAATGTAACTGTTTTAAACAATAATCACAATATAATTTAACTAACTATAACGTACTCTTTCATAGGGATTTCAGGTCACGTAGTAGTAGATTTCAGAGTTAAGAATAGGTTAGGTTACATTTGGGGATTAGGATGTTAATTTTACACTATTTTACACGGTAGTAGTTAACAACTAATTACCTCTTATTTAAAGTTCTAAGTCAGAAACCATCATGACAGAAATCACCAAAAATTCGCATTTTGATATATATATATATATATATATATATATATATATATATATATATATATATATATATATATATATATATATACATTTATAAAGTTTTGGACCTACCCTAAGTTCCCTGATTGTGTCGGCCAATGCTACAATCCTATCCAGTGTGTGTCCATTGATTGTCTCAACAACATAATCTCTGTGTCCCGTCCTATTCGTCTCTCTACCAGATGTGTCCGTGTACACGTCAATTTTCTCTGTAACAGCTGCTGTGTACATAGAACAAAACAATTATCTTTAAAAGCATATGTTTTATATTAATTTATCAAACTAATAATTCCCAAACTTTATTTCTGTATTTTTACATTATGTTACTTACAAATAGCCCATAACTGTATGCAAACCAGTATGTCAACATAACAAACGGCGTCCACAGCTAACACAAAACATACATCAATCACATTCCAACGCACACCTACCAAGACGCACACAACACACCTGTACCCACCTGATTCATTCCTCTCTGCTGACCTCTTGGACTTCTGTTTATTGGCATCCGTGATGACCACGCCCCCACTGCTGGTCAAGATGTCCCCGCCCTCTATGCTGATACCTGGCATGTGGTCAACCACAGGCAGGACCTGGCGAACTGGAACCAACAAACACCTGAGTCAGCTTGTTGTGGTCAGTGTTTGGGAGATTTGAGTGTACCATAATTATGGTTTGCTATGGTTTTCAAAAGATTTGGAGTACAATAAATATGATCTGCTGTGGTCAGTATTCAGACCACTTAATGTACCATAATTATAGTATGTCGTGGTCAGGTATGGTCAGTGTTAGAACACCTTAATGTGCCATAATTAAGTTCTTCTATGATCAGTTATCTGACAACTTGGTGTATCATATTGTCTTTATTGTCAGTGTTCGGTTTTGAGGTGTATATATAGTACACTGGAAACCATATCTTATCTACTCCAATCTCATAAGATTGTTAAACATACGAGAACTGTATACAATACTATAAACCTTTTTGTTAATTTAAAGGAAATTGTTTTTCAGTCAGAGAACGAGGGTAGTCTAAATTGAGTCAAGTTAAAACAACACATTAAAATGTAGGCTAATTGTGAATAAAACCTAGGTTAGGACGATTCTATTAAATTATATTTTATCTTTATATCTAATGTCTATTTTAAAAATATTTACAGTAAAGAAAATCTTGGCTAAAACAGGTAAAAAAAATAACAATAGAAGAAAGTCAACTGCTGCTACTCACACAACACCTGCCTGCATGTGAAGCCGTTCTTGTACTCATCCACCGTGGCCTTCTCCACGTGGTCGCCCTGGTAGGGGAACTCAACATACCAGGGGTAGCCCCAGCCCGGGACACAGTGACACACATACCCGCCCCGCTTAAACCCGTAGCCGGGCTTGTGTTTACACTATGGGACGACAAGAAAAAAATTATATATATATATATATATATATATATATATATATATATATATATATATATATATATATATATATGTAGTTATTTATTTATTTGCATATATATTTATGTCTATATATATATATATATATATATATATATATATATATATATATATATATATATATATATATATATATATATATATATATATATATATTTATATATATATATATATATATATATATATATATATATATATATATATATATATATATATATATATATATATATATGTAGTTATTTATTATTTATTTATTTGCATATATATTTATGTCTATATATATATATATATATATATATATATATTTATATATATATATATATATATATATATATATATATATATATATATATATATATATGTCATATGGTTCGATTCAGTTAAGATATGTAGGGCGTGGTCATATATCCTATCGTCGATACAGATTAGAGTTAAGGTAACATCTCCTTATCTCCTAACAGTACAGACTATAGTTAAACATTTGTGTTTACACAGGTTAAGAGTTTCAAATAAAACAAATGCGAATTATTTCCCTTGGATATAAATTATTCACGAATTTTTTTTTTAGCTCCACCCATTTTTTTTTTTCACAACCAGCTTTCCATTCAATTTGATTTATCGGAGACAGAGCAACGTATACAACGTTTCTCAGATTGTTTAATTTGCATGAAGGAAAAGGAGACAACAAACAGTACTATGGGAGCGGGTGAGAAAGATTAGACGTACCCCCGTTGTTTTCCGACACCTGTGCACACCTGCCAGGTAGCTGGGCCCGGGGTTGCCGTCACTGACCCCACAGGCGTTGAAGTCCAGCTCCTTGAAGTGGGTGTCCATCACCGACACCCCCACGACCCTGGGGGGTGATACAACACAGGGGAGGTTAGTCGGGTTAGTCACGGGTTAAGTTATGACATCTACCAGAGGTTACTTTAGGTGGGTCAAGATAAGCAGTGACAGTTATATGTGATGAGCTTAGCCGTGTTTGTTACATACAAGTAAGGCTTCAACATAAACTCTAGTTGTGTCCTTGAACCGGGAGGGTCATAGCCAGTGCCAGCGCCAAGTTATTTAGGGGTCATCCCTAAATGACGTCACGCTTTTTTTTTGACGATTTTTACCTCCCCCCTCCCCTCCGTCACACGTCGTCACAAAAGGCCAGACCCCCCCCTAAAATGACGTCACACCTCAACCTACAACCCCCCCCCCCCTCAAAATTGAAGTTTGAATTTTTTTTAAACATCGATATTTTTCCAAAATTTTGTCTAAACTATTACAGTTTATTAAAACAGTTATCTAAAACGCGAAATAACGTCTAAAATTAGTTTTCTAACATTGCTTTTTTATAATGCAAAAATGTGACGTCGCAACATCTGAACCCCCCCCCCTCCCCCTCATCACACATCGTCACAAAATTACGGACCCCCCCCCCCCCTCCCCCTACGAGTGTGACGTCATTTATGGATGACCCCTTAGCGCCCTATGCAAAACTTATTAAAACGACCCTTTCACACAAATGAATTACAAAAATATATGTGGAAGAAAACAATTAATTAAAAGTGACGTATTAATTTATTATCAGTTGCATACACGTTATAAGTAGACATCAAAATCAAATGTTACTTGCCTCATTCGTCTCAAAAGTGTGTACTTATTCCTTCAATTCCACTTTGCAAGCGTAATCACATTTTATTGAAATTGTTGCTAAGTCCACGAGTCTACTTTTTACTTTACGACATAGCCCCCCCCCCCCCCCTTTTGAAAATTTAAGAGCTCCCCCCCCCCTCCCGGGAGAAAAAAATTCTTTTTGTGTTGGGGAGTCTGCAGCCCTCTGAAGGTGAGTTCCAAAACGGAACTTACATGTTTTAAGCTTGACTGTCTTTAGATATAATTGTAAAATGTCTATATTGTGTGATTATGCAACGACTTTTTTGTTTTTGAAAAATAAAAGGTTATAAATGTTATAGATAGGTGTCGGCAACCTTTTGAGACAGAAGAGCCAAAAATTACAATTTACAAAATTGCCCAGTTTTCAAAGAGCCACTAACATTTTAATATACTCAGACCGTGTGGGGGTGGGGGTGGTAGGGATATGTCTAGAGAGGAAGAGAGGGGCCTGCTAGGCGCGCTTACAGCTTGGTGTTTTCTAAGGTCTCCAAGAAGAGAATTATATAAAGAGATTATTTTATTTATAAACTCATGAAAATATTAGTCTTCAACACTCGGTAATGAACGATATAATAATAAATATAAACAATAAACACTCGCTATTCTATTAGAATATTTAGTTACTCAATTTTTCAATGTACCTCCTTGTTTTCTAAAACTGAGTTATTTAAATGTAAACAATGCTTGTGCTTGGATCATATTTATTTGGGCACGGATTTACCTACACTACCGCCCAGTACGCCGTGGGGCTTGTTGTATGAAAGCCTTGAGTAAAAAGTCAAATTCGCAGGAGTGGCGTTGTGGTTCACTCTAAATGTTTACAATCGTAGAGCCGGGTTTAGTGACGGCTATTAGGGGCAGATAATTTAGTTTGAAACGATTTAAACTTAGGGGAGGTAACTAAGAGGAGGCTGCTTTTACGGGGGGGGGGGGGTGTGGGGAAGGAGGGTGGGAGGGGGTTATCGTCTTTAACGAGCTACTGATAGTTGTTTTAAAGCAATTATTTTCAGTGGCAGCGTTGATACTGTCGAATTCACAAATTATGAATTACTGAAAAGTAGAAAATAAAACAACTAAATAGCGGCATATGAAGCGCCGCGGGTCGGCTCGTTAATAATATTTGTGCATGAAGCTGAAGAGCCGCATCTTGACTTTAAAGGAGCCGAATGCGTCTCGAGAGCCGCAGGTTAACGACCCCTGACTTATAACAATCTCAGATTTTAACCACATGACGCGGCCCTAAAGGTAAATATGTTCAGGGATTTTAAAGAGAAGGTGAGAACATCTGTAAAAATAATTCAAAAGCTTATAAAATAAAAGAATAAATGTTAGCGTTAAATTTGTTAGTTTATTTTTCTCAAAAACATTTAGGTTCAATTCTAATTTAATACGAAAAAGTTGGATCAAAAGTTTAGTAGACCTCGTATGTTTTTATTATATTAATTATAGCATTATCTTGATTATTATCATTTATAATCAAACAAAAGGTAAGTATTGATAATTATCAAAAAGATAATTATCTTTAGAGTAGCGCAACTTGTATTTAAAAAATGACACTGATCTCCCTTTATACCCTATTCACAGTTTTCTAAAACTGAGTTATTTAAATATAAACAATGCCTGTGCTTGGATCAAATTTATTGGGGCACGGATTTACCTACACTATAGATTCCAGCCTAAAATTGTTATACATGAATCCTTTAGGAGAGGATGAAAATATGAAAAAACAATTAACTAGATGTTTAATTTACGACTAATACTGTATGTCTACTAAAGTTAAGTATTGCAATCTACATCGGCTACTGATGTATTTGTTTTTCAACTTGATAAATACTAAAAAAAATCTACCAAACTATTTTGTTTAGAACTTAAGCTCTATATAATTTATACAATAACAAATAATAACCTAAAGTTGTATTTATATGTAAGCGGTCAACCTAAGGTGCAGGAATTTGAAATGAATGTAAAGTTAAGCAACGAATTATCTCAAATTTGAAAATCCAAATACAAAAAATTAATTCAAGGGAAATAACATTCATAAGAATAGCTAAATTAACCAAGTGTAACTAAGACATGATTGAAAAACACAGTAGAACAGTTTAAATTTCATTAAGTAATATTTAAAATAAAAGTTTCATATAAACTATGTCGCTTTGTAAAAACGATATATTTTACCTATTGAATATTTAACTGCTAGTTTTTTTTTTTTTTTGAAAGTTTAAAAATGGTATCTTTATTAAATATTGTTCTATTCAATTTTAATTACATACATTTAACTGTGTCTCTGTGAAAAACAACATCTTTAAAATTTTGGATCCCCTAAACAAAGGGACGCCTTTCAAAAAATTAAAACTCGGGTAACTGTTTAAGACATTGCTAGAATTATTGATTAAATATAAAAAAAATAATTTGAGAAAAAACGTAGTTTGCGGTTAGTTATAAATTCCATCTATATATATAATTCTCCTCTTCGTGCCGTTAGAAAACAAGCTGCAAACGCTCTCCCTACCTCCCCACCCCTACACGGTTTTAGTGAGCTGTGTTCACTCTAAATGTTTACAAGCAGAGCCAACGATTTTAAACGTAGGGGGGGGGGAGGGGGGGGGAAGGAAGTGGGGGGGGGGTTATGGTCCTTAACGAGCTACTTATAGTGTTTTAAAGAAATATTTTCAGTGTCAGCGTTGGTACTGTCGAATTCACAAATTATGAATTATTGAAAATTAGAAACAACTAAATAGCGGCGTATGTTATGCCGCGGGCCGGCTCGTTATATTTAATATTATAATATTATATATTCATACTTTAACAGTGGTAATATAGATTCCCAAAAAAACTTAAAATTTTTCAACTAGAGAACGGTTATCTACTACATTCACAACACATATCAAACTTCGATACCTAAACATAACTAGACTCGATGCTCCAGAAATAGGACATCAACTCGTTTAACTACACTGAGCTCTACACACGATACTCTCAATCAACAACGATTTCACTGGACCTACTACTACGCTTTAACAGTCAATATAATTCGATACCTTAATACCACAAGAATCAATACTCCCGAACTCCAGAACTACGATACTTCATCACCTCCATTCTCATTTCTCTATTACCAGATTCCTCTAGACCTTCATCTACAAAACAGCCGAATAAAAATTATGACACTTTAACACTTCGATACTTTATACCTACGAAACCATATCAGCAACAGCCTTCCGCCAATACTCACAAATCTAAACGATTCATCAAAACTTACCAAACAATTGCAATACTTTGAACACCCCGTCATTAAAAAACTCTATACACCAGGACAGATTTCTGATTAAAATTTAGAGAAAACGAGACTTCCAAGCCCTATTAAAATTAGAAAACCGTTTGAAATGTCCGAAATTTAAATTACGAACTTATTTAATCGTTTTCTACATCAATTATGTGACCCCAAATTAAAAAGGCAAAGTGACTGGTAAAAAGCGCCCCGACCTTTCCAAATTAGGTAGGTAGGGTTGCGTTTTCACCTTCGCGAATTAATATAGGCCTATATAGATCTAATTTTGGGGTGGGTGTACAAAATTAATAGTTCGTCCTGGGTGCCGAAATAGATCACTACTCCTTTAGAAAAATTATTAATTATTACGTACTTTTTTTTTATAGGTAGCGCCGGCCCTGTTCGTGACATATCTTAATATAATTATTATATAATATTTTTTATTTCTATAGGCCTACTCAACTTACTTTTAAAGATCTTACTATTTTAAAGTAGGCCTATATGTATTTAAATTTAAATTATAATTTTTCATTCAGATCATTTAAATGACAAAGTACATCTCTCAGCCATCAAGCACCCATGTCCTCATCTCCCAGCTATCGTGGACACCCTCAATGGTGTTGTCCTCGCCCCATACCGAAGCTTCATTAGACGCCCCTGGCCAGTAGCGTAGCGAGGGGGGGGGGACATATGCCCCCGGGCACCGACCGTAGGGGGCGCCAAAATGGGTTGGAAAAATAAATTGAAAGGTCGAGAGGGGTGAAAATCGAAAGTTTGAGGGGGGGGGGGGGGGGGGGGAGGGTGCAAATCGAAATCTTGAGGGGGGTGCAAATCAAAATCTTGAGTGGGGGGGGAGCAAATCGAAAAGTGTGTCCCCGGTCGCCGGGAAGGGTCGCTACGCCTCTGCCCCTGGCACTAGTTTAACACTGATTTAGCGGATTTTGATTTTCACGAACTGAAGATCCTTCAACGCTGATTGGTTAATACAATTCTTTTTCTTTTGTTTAAAACTTTTTTTTTGTTTTGTTTTGTTTACAATCTAATTTAATTTTTTTTTAAATTGTCGAATTATTTTTTTTTTTTACATTCTAACTTTTAAATTAGAAAAAAAAAAAATCTTGAATTTTAAACTGACAAAGAAAGAAGCACCGTGATAGAATGCTTGAATCTTGAGCGATAATTACAGCGGTTGTTTTTTTATTTCTTGTTTTTTTTTTTTTTTTTTTTTTTTTTTCTTGTTTTTTTTTTTTTTTTTTTTTTTTTCTTGTTTTTTTTTTTTTAGATTCCGAACGATCCCACACGCTAAACCTTGTTTTCCTGGGTTATTGACCTTGGTCATTGACCGTCTGTTGACGAATGTCAATTGAATCTTGTGTTCAGTGTGTGTGTCTGTGTGTGTGTGTGTGTGTGTGTCTGTGTGTGTGTGTGTGTCTGTGTGTCTGTGTGTGTGACAATTTCGAAGAAGAATTGTGTTGGAGAAATACGAATTCTTTAAGTAATCATTATAAAACGGGCCACTGGGTTTTAAATTGTAATTATTTTTTTTTTTCCTAGACAAAATACCATTTTCAGAACTTACCTCGGTCTCCGCATGTGGGTGAAGTTCGAATATCGAGGCATGAAGTCTATGACAGGCGAGACGGCACTAACCACCCACTTGTTGGCACCGCCGCAGTCAAAGTAGGGCGGGGTGAACTGGACGGGGAGGTTGCGGGGGTCTGTCTCGTGGGCGCCGGGCGATGATGGGCCGAAGAAAGAAAAGTGCTGGAAGGTCTTGGTCTCAAACTTACCTAGGGGGGGGGGGAGAGATAGAAGGGATTCTGGTTTAACCGAATGTTGTGTGTTACACTGCGTAGTGTCTGTAACAAATCTACCACAGGTGGATTAATATAAAAGGGACATTTTAAAATCATACGACATATTACGATGTGCAAGTAGCGTTATAGTTTTTAACCCCAAAGAAGTAAGTAAGATTTTATACCAAACATTTGACATACTAAACATGTAGTTGAAGCAGTGGCGTAGCGAGGGGGGGGGGATGCGGACCGCACCGGGTGACACCATTTAGGGGGGGGGGATGACACCAAGGCAAAAAATAGCAAAATATATAGAGAAAAATGATAATTCCACTCAAGTGATTAATTCGAGTGTTAAAAAGTATTTTTAGAGCAAATACTACAAAGGGTGGAGTGGGGGGGGGGGGGTTTAAATCGAAAGTTTGAAAGTTTGTCCCCGGGCGCCGGAAAGGGCCGCTACGCCTCTGGGGGTTGACACCATTAAGTGCCGCACCGCGTGACACCCGACCTCGCTTCGCCAATGAGTAGAAGGGAGAAATAAGCCTAGAATGTGTCAACGAAATACTATTTGTTTTTAACAGCACAACTTGGATTGTGCAAATTTTATATTTACATGCCAATAGGGATATTTCACAGTGGGACCTGGGATTTTTGACAAAAGAGAGTTCATTTTGACGTAACAAACGTCCGACGAATTATTAATGTAAATATATTACTATGTGAATATGTAATGTTTCCTCCAAACGCCTCTGACACGTATCCTACCTGTAACGTTCGACATCTTAATGCCCACATAGTAGGTATATTTGGTCAGTGAGTCCATGCCTCCAGTAATGTCAGGTAGCCAACTTGGATACCTGGGAATGACACAAGTTACCTGCTATACAAATACTCCGAACAAATCACCAAAACTTTATTAGTAAAGGAAGTTAAACCCTAGATATCCTTACTAGGTACTGGAAATGTTTTATATTATAAAACTGAACAATGATTTAGTTGATATGAGAAATGCATATCCCCCCAACCCCCGCCCCCGCTTGACATCTGCAATGTTAGACTCACCAAGGGTTCATTTTAAACTTCGGGCTGGTGTAGTTCATGAACTGACCGGCGCCGTAGTCCACCGCCTGCACCACCTGTCTGGTGGGTTCCCGCAGGTAGTTGTCTTGGTCACGTGTGTCGTCCCACCTGTAGACCTTAGGCCCGAACAACGGGATGGTTTTGTTGAACGGGACGGTCGTGTACCTGCAGGGGGATTCATTTCTAGTCACATTTTGTCAGGAGTGTGTTGATTTCTAGTCCCATTTTGTCAGGAGTGTGTTGATTTCTAGTCCCATTTTGTCAGGAGTGTGTTGATTTCTAGTCACATTTTGTCAGGAGTGTGTTGATTTCTAGTCACATTTTGTCAGGAGTTTGTTGATTTCTAGTCCCATTTTGTTAGGAGTTTGTTGATTTCTAGTCACATTTTGTTAGGAGTTTGTTGATTTCTAGTCACATTTTGTTAGGAGTTTGTTGATTTCTAGTCACATTTTGTTAGGAGTTTGTTGATTTCTAGTCACATTTTGTCAGGATTTTGTTGTTTTTTAGTCACATTTTGTCAGGAGTCTGTTGATTTCTAGTCACATTTTGTCAGGAGTTTTTGCTGATTTCTAGTCACATTTTGTCAGGAGTTTGTTGTTTTTTAGTCACATTTTGTTAGGAGTTTGTTGATTTCTAGTCACATTTTGTTAGGAGTTTGTTGATTTCTAGTCACATTTTGTTAGGAGTTTGTTGATTTCTAGTCACATTTTGTTAGGAGTTTGTTGATTTCTGGTCACATTTTGTCAGGAGTGTCGTGTACATGTAGGGGAATTCATTTCTAGTCACATTTTGTCAGGAGTGTCGTGTACCTAATTCATTTCTAGTCACTTTTTTTCAGGAGTGTCGTGTACATGTGGGGGAATTCATTTCTAGTCACATTTTGTCAGGAGTGTCGTGTACATGTAGGGGAATTCATTTCTAATCACATTTTGTCAGGAGTGTCGTGTACATGTAGGGGAATTCATTTCTAGTCTCATTTTGTCAGGAGTGTCGTGTACATGTAGGGGAATTCATTTCTATTCACATTTTGCCAGGAGTTTATTGGTGAACGGTACTGGAGTTTCGTTCAGGAATCGCTCCGGGTACGGGGCCAGGGGGGGGGGGGGAGACTTTATCCCGAGCACGCCCATCGCTCCTTACCACCCCCTCCCGACATAGAAAAATATAATGTATATAGAAAATATATACTTTAACCAGTGTCAAACAGGAAAAGGATATTTACAGAGCGACTGTTCCCCACGCTCCCCCTCCTCGGGAGTTTCAATTAGACACCCCACCCTAAGGAATAAAAAAGGTCTGAAGAAACCGTTAACTACACTGTTTCATAAATATGATGGAATACAGTTCCAGTTACATTATGTCAAAGGGTTGTAGTGTTGTGTTACAATTATGTTGGTAGTAAACCTGTACCTGTACATATACATATGCCTGTACATATACCTGTTCATATCTTTAAGTTAAAGACGCATAGCGGTTACCAATTAATGGAACTCATGTGTCAAGCCGGGTGGTCTCAAGTTGTAGAGTTCAAGAGTTCAAATCTTGGCTTTCGTTTGTCAGAAGTGATTTGTGATCAGCGTAATGCCAAGCCACCGATTAAATAAGTCGTCTTGGGCACTAAGATCCAAATTAATGCCAGGTACCCAACAGCGATGAGTGGACTCAATATGAAAACTAGGATCAAATTATTTCTAGTATACAACTTTAAAATTTAAATTGGTGTTGTCTTTACAATTCCATTTTGCGGGTGAGAAACAAAAAAATAAAAATGGCATTAAATTTATTGGTTAAAGGGAGGTAACTTAGACAATACAATTAGACCTGAGTAGGCAACTGGAGGTTATCTCCCCTTTTACAGCATCGCTATCTGAATGGTGTGAATCCAGCGAAGGTAAAAACTTTGAAGCAACTTTGTTTCTCGGGCTAGGATATGATTTTACAGTAGCCTACAGTAAGTGACTTTTTACTTTTGCAGATGAAACGGCCTCGAAAACAATTCATTCAATTTCTTAGAAAAAATACCCGTAAAAGTTATAATTAGCAGTAACAATACGCTAAATTGCTAAATAAAATGTTTCAAAGTCATTTGATACTTCTGTTGTAAGTTTTGTAGTTGCTTTGATAAATGAATTACGTTCATTTTTGTTATTATTGAAGATTGCTTGACAATAATGTGAGTATTGTCTATAAAAATATAGAGAAATTAAAAATTTTTTGCACCAATTCGCCATAAATACTTTTTGTAAATGCAAAATCGGTATGTTGTAGAGTCATGGAACATTGTTTTCTTCTTTGTTCTTAATTTTTCAGTGTTGGAAGAGATCCCCTCCAACACAATTGAGTATACGTGTCAACGGGTTATGCGCCATTGAGGCCATTGACACCGATTTCAGCCTGCTTTTCTTTTTTTATTTGCATCCATAGCCTTTGTCCAACCAATACCAAACTACAAGGCAGCAGTTGTTTGATTTTAGAGTTGTCTCTCCTAGAAGAGTTGCTGTCCCCAGCTAACGAGCCTCATCTGCCCGAAGGTTCGAACGCGAGACTTCTCGGTTCGACCACGCCGACCCCTACCAGTGTTTTAAGAGCGCCTGTTCTACAGCCTTTAGACACATATTTCCAATCATGGTATTAGCCTAGTTTTCAACAAAGCTAGACGGTGCCTGGCATACGGGGCATGGTGCCTGGCAGATTATCGCCAGGTTATGCAATGTGTGTCACGTACGTCACGCAATGCGTGTCACGTACGTCACGCGTCACACTGCAGCCACTTGCCACCCTTTCGTCATGGCTGCAGCTAGCACAAAAGAATGTCGACTTGCAGTTTGTGCAGTGATTGTTACCAGCACGTTTGTAGAGAGGAATCAATTCGTTCCAAGCGCAAACGATTCGTCACAGAGGCAAGTGATACATTGTAGCATGAGGTAGTCTCCGTCCATTATCTAGCAAGATCTTGTGGATTTGGTTAAAACAATCACCAATACCATACCACCCATTGCGCATGTTTCTCAACAACAGTGTCGTTGAGTTCTCTACAAGTCTATCGATTGAGAATAGGAATCTTCCGTCAGTTCTCGGGAGACATATATATATATATATATATATATATATATATATATATATATATATATATATATATATATATATATATATATATATATATATATATATATATATATATATATATATATATATAGTAAATTATTATAGAGGCAAACTTTAAAATATATTACGACCTACTTAGAATAATATTTAGACAAAGTCACTTTTTTTCTCGACGCTTACAGTAGTACATTTTTTTAATGTCTTTCTAGTTGCGAAGTTAGAGAATAAGTCGACCCAAAAATGTAGCTTGAAATTGTTGCTCAAATTACAAACTACATTAACATTCAATAAAAATAATAACATTTTTCATCATCCTGAAAATTTTTGACAAACATACTTTTAAATTATAAATTATTGAGGGAATGGTATGGTTGAATGGTAGAGCGATTGACTGGTGGCCAGAATGTTTTGAGTTCGGATCTCGTTTCGGTCTCGTCACTGCATTATGTCCATGATTCCACCCAGCTCTTATGGATTTCTGACTCACGTTAGGGAAAGTAAAGATGACTTAGCATAATGCTGACCACATATCCCATAATGTGCCGAGGTAATTGAAACAGGAGAACTCTACTTCATCTGCCCCATGTGTTTTGGGCACAAACGGAATAAGGTGATGATGATGAATACATTATTTAAATAAGTGTTCGCTAAAGGAGGTCTGGTTATAAAATTTGCCAAGTGTATTTTTATATTTAAAAAAAAAAAGCTTATTATTGAAATTGTACAATGTAATCTTCCAATTTTACTTTTATTCCCAACCTATACAGACTTTAAAGCATTTTAAACCCGCTAATCCGTTTCAATCCTACCTAATCAGAGTCACATTTAAGTCACCATAGACGCCCAATTATGTCACGGTATAGTCATGTGACCCTAACACTTTCACGGACATTAGCGAAACCCGTTTTGACACTTTAAATTTTACGCTCGTTAACTCGTCTGCTGTGCGCATGCGTGTTGCATGCTGCAGCCAGTGTTATGTCACAGTGTATCGGCATCAAGGTCACGACCACGACCACGTCAGAGTGTATCTGCGTCAAGGTCACGACCAGAGTGTATCTGCATCAAGGTCATGAGCTGAGAAAGTTAAGTCTTAGGGTGTACTTTCCGGAGTGGAACATAAAGTAATGTTTGGGGAACTTTAGATCAGTTCTTGAGATTTATAGTTCCGATAAAGGAACATAAGATAGGATGGTAATTTAAAGAGCACACTAGTTGAAGATAACAAAACGTTAAATTAAGTGGCATTTTAACAAAAGGTTAGACTAATGGACGCACCAGTTAGGGTTAACAAAAGGTTAGACTAATGGAGGCACCAGTGAGTGTTATCAAAAGGTTAAACTAATGGACGCTCCAGTGAGTGTTATCTAAAGGTTAAACTAATGGACGCTCCAGTGAGTGTTATCAAAAGGTTAAACTAATGAACGCTCCAGCTAGGATTAACAAAAGGTAAAACTAACAAACACACCAGCTAGGTTTAGCAAAAGGTTTAACTAACCGACGCACCAGTTTGGGTTAACGAACGGGAAAACTAACAAACGCACCAGTTAGGATTAACAAAAGGTAAAACTAACAAACGCACCAGTTAGGTTTAACAAAAGGTTAAACTAACAAACACACCAGCTAGGGTTAGCAACTAACCGACGCACCAGTTAGGGTTAACGAACAGGTAAACTAACAAATGCACCAGTTAGGGTTAACAAAAGGTTAAACTAACAAACGCAACAGTTAGGGTTAACAAAAGGTTAAACTAACAAACTAGCTAGGTTTAACAAAAGGTTAAACTAACAAACGCACCAGTTAGGGTTAACAAAAGGTTAAACTAACAAACTAGCTAGGTTTAATAAAAGGTTAAACTAACAACCTCACCAGTTAGGGTAGTGACAGTTGACATCGAAATAAAAAGCGCTGGCGTTGATGAAGTTAGGGTTGGCGTTGACGTCGGCTGTGGCGCTGAAGTACATGTACATCCACCCCGGTTGTTTACTGAAGCTCTCCGACGTGTTCATCTTCTGTAGGATGTAGCTGGGGGGGGGGGGGAGAGGAACGACTTATACAGTAAATGTGTTGGGATCAGTGGCGTAGCGTTGGGGGGGGGGGGTGCGGACCGCACCGGGTGACACCATTTAGGGGGGTGACACCAAGGCAAAAAAATAGCAAAATATATAGAGAAAAATGATAATTCCACTTAATTATGTGAGTAATTCGAGTGTTAAATAGTCTTTTAAGAGGGGGAGGGTGCAAATTGAAAGTTTGAGGGGGGGGGGGGGGGTTGGTGCAAATCGAAAGTTTG